CCGCGGCTAAACTTGAACCAAACCTCTACCGTCCCTTTAAAATGATTATAAAATCGACCCACTGGGACCATCTTCTGGTAAAAGGCCACCGACATGTGGGGACCACATATTATTTTCGTCAAACTTTTTTTTGACTTATGTAGACCACACCAAATCCAAAAATAAAAATATCGTATGGCATACCCGTAACATGCTCTCCAATTTAACCAAAGTCCCCTCACCGGCTAGTAACAATAAGCAAACTCCACCTACACTCAGAAAACAAAAAACATAAAAAGCAAAAAAGAAAAAAAATAAAAAAAAAAAAGCCCTCACATTACTCGAATGCAAAAATTATATTCAGATCGATCGAAATTAACAGACACAAAAACACTACCACCAAAAAGATGGCGGTACCGGCATAAGCGCGAATCGGCCGCGCACACGGTCTCCCCGCGCCGCCGATCGGCGACCTCCCGTCAGCTAGGGTTCCTCTCCGCGCTCCTCCTCCGCGTCGCTCCGTCACGCTTGCGGATCCAGTTCGGTTGGGCCCCTTCATGCTCCTCTCTCCCCTCACGCCCTACGTGCAGGAGCTCGGATCCGCGCACGCGATGGTCGGAGTCATCGTTGGCTCGTGGCCCCTCTCGGCCTCATCGTGCAGTCCCACTCGTCGGTCACTTCAGCGATTCGGTGCACTGCGACGATGATCGCGCTCTCAGTGCTGCTTATCGGTCACTCCGCTGACGTCGGGTGGTTGTTTGGGGATCGGGATGGTAAGATACGCTCACGTGCGATCGGAGTGTTTGTCGTAGGGTTTTGGCTTCTTGATGTTGGGAACAACGCTACTCAGTCGCCGTGTAGAGCTCTGCTTGCCGATCTCACTGGTTAGTTCTCTTTTCTTTCCTGATTTTTCGTGTTTTATTATTATTATTTTTTGGTAATATTTTTTGACGATTGAGGTGAGAGGTTGAAATTGTGCTCGGCAGCGGTTCTTAGATTCCTTTTCGAAAAGCGACGACGAGCTTCGAAAGCCATAACTTATTCCGAAAGCGATGCCGTTTCTTAATTGTGCGTTGAGTTAGTATTTAATGAAGTGGGCGGTTTTTAGGGGAAATTACGTAAAGTGCCATGCCACGGGATTATTTGTTATAATGACAGGTTAATGAGAAAGGAAATTGATCTTTTACTGTTATTCTGTAGTTAATTTGGATTTATTAAAAGCTGTTTTCTCATGGATTATTGGATTTGGTCTAAAATTGAGTGCACTAGATTTTATTGAACTGCAAAATCAAGTAAAATTTTCGAAAATCTTACTAATTTCTACTTTTGAGTGATCCTTAGCCAGTTATTTAGTTTGGGACGAGTTCACAGTTTAATAGACTTAAACAACTTTTGGTAGTTACTCCATGAGTTAATGAAACTTGATAGATCCAACAGGAGCTAAGAATTAAAAGAAAATGTGTTGATGCTATGCTGTGTATATATTTTGATTATTTGGTGCTTTCTTGAGCATAGTTCATTGGTAGCTGTTGATCTATAAAAACATGGATATGATCACAGTTAGTATAGTTCACACTGGGGGTTCAGGGGATTTTCTACTGATTGCTGATGCTGCTTTACAAGTTGGAATGTTGTGATTGAACATGCAGTCTGATATTAGATATTGGTTGGAAGTTGACAAACATTGTAAGCTTGTTTCTTCAGTTGATTTGCAAGAAAAGTTCCGACCTCTTCATGGGACATGAAAATAAATTTCAATATTGGTGGAGATGCTGGTGAGCAGCCTTCCATATTTCTTTTTCCTTTGATTGGTGTTGACCACCCCCCCCCCCCCCCCCCCACCAAAAAAAAAAAGAAAAAGAAAAAAAAGAAAACTGCCTCCGACAAACAGAAATATTGCGCAAATAGGAGTGCTTGATAGGCTATAAAACTACAGAATAAAAAATAAGGACATCTATCCCTAAAATTTCTCATAACTTCCGCTTTCTCGATCGTGAATATAGAACATGATCTTGTGGTCAGTAGACCAAAGTGCATGAGTTCAAATGCTTATACATCTTCATCACTATAAAGTTAATTGTTCAATACGTCTATAGATTTTTATCTCAAGAGTTGAACAACCATTTTGATAATCATTATATGGTGTTTTTTTATGCAATGACATGTATTGAACCCAGTCATATATATATTGGACCAAGTAATTCATTCTCTGTGTTTGATAAAGAAAAAACTAATTTGATTGATCGATTTTTATCCTAAAGATTTTTCTAAAAATAGATTGTATGGAGCTTAGCTATCAACTTGAGAGCTATATCTCCCGTGTAGCTACTCACCATGATTTTATATCCTTTGGTGTTCAAGTTGGCATTTGGCACTAATCTTGCTTGTTTCAATGATAAGTGTTGAAAGAGCATTTTTAGCAATCAAAATTATTATGAATGTCCTTTGAAACCGAATTGGAGACGTCTATATAGAATGATTGTTGGTACCTTATATTAAAATATTTTGTAACATTAATGAGAATGATGTCATGAAATGGTTTCAAGAATTGAAAGCAAGTAGAATATTATTGTAAACATTATATTCTGACTTGAATTTTTTGATTTTGAAAGTCTTTGTTATGTAATGATGTTTTAATACTAATCAAACACGCAAAAATATTTATATGTTATTGTGTTTAATTATTAATTTTTTGGACCTTCCTTGACAAAATTCCTGCCTCCACCACTGTTGACCTTCCATAGCTGGTGCAAACCTGATCCTAATCACTGGCGTATTCGCCATTGCTGGATCTGGCCAGTCTCTTGCATTCAATCTTTCTTTCATTCACCTTGTGCTCTCTTGCACATCTTTATTCTTGTTCCTTTTGTTGTTTCTTACTTTCATGCTTTCCTTCTTTTCTTTCTTGCCATGACTGAGAACAATGAAATAATACAAGGCGGAAAAAATAGCCATGTTTCATTGTTTCTCCACTAGATATCTTCCTAGTTTTGTTATTAATGTCATGACCAATCCGGTCACCAGGTGATTGCCTTGGTACTCATAGTATTGGAAAGCACGACTTTATCATCTTTATGTGGTATTCCACATCTCATCCTCTGTTCATATCAACGAGTTTCCATGCTATCACATATCTCAGCTTCCATTTCATCATCCTTCATCGCAGAGATGCTTTCTGATTTCTCCACCATTTTTAGAGTCATTACTGGAAGAGTTTCCTGAACCAGACTCTAAATGATCTGATTGGGTTTTTGTGGCGACTGTAACTCAGAATTAAGCCAAAGGAAGTTGATCCAAAGTTGTAACCATCATCAACACTGCTAGCAACGATGTCCAGCTTGAGCTAGAATTTATTCTGAATCTGCAGTCCAAACCGGTTGTAATAGAACCATGAACGGAGTTTGAGATCATGAAAGTGCCAAACCGCCACCTACCAAGGACTTACTTTGATAGATTCTGGGTCGCGATACTTGTCATCGCTTGCTTCATTGCATTTAAAGCAGATTGGTAAAACATTTTTCAGCCACTTTGTCCACATAAAGGGCATATTCATTCAAGAGTGTGAGAGTTGATGCAGATCCTCCAGAGCTTCTTGGAAGTGAAATTCCAGATGCCAAATAGACTAACCCAGGAGTGATAGAAGTATTTATGTGGTCAAAAATTCAATTGAGTTTGATTTAGGATTTTGACACACACACACACACACACTAACCCAGGAGTGATGGAAGTATTTATGTGGTCAAAAATTTAATTGAGTTTGATTTAGGATTTCGATATACATATATATATATACATATACACGTATACATATGCGTATGTATATGTATACATGTATATGTATGTATATATACTATATATATATATATATATATGTATGTATGTATGTATGTATAAACGTATATGAGAAAAATGGGTTTGCTTGGTACCAAGCACAAGTTTTTGTGTTTGGTACCAAGCACAAGTTGTGAGTTGGCATATTCCCCTCCACTCATTGAAATCGGTGCCCACATTCACATGGGTTGGGGAGTGGTTGGGAATTGGAATGAGTGGATGGGAATAGGACACCTCATTACTAAGCACAAAATTTGTGCTCTATATATATATATGATATGAATGCTAACTAACCATGTAGATGAACGATATTGTTGATCTCTTTGGCGTGCATGCATTAATTAGTTCACCGGTAAAGTGAGACATTGGCTTACCACGTCCCAGATTTTAGACTGTAACTATGGCAGCGGGGAGTGTTATTTCATATAACTTTTATTTCATAATAATTATATATTACGCATAGATATTACATGTTTCTTGACAAGCCATAAGCATTTTAAATTATCAGAGACTGATCAAAAGCAAACAATATATCATTCCCTTTTACAATTTATTGCCACCTTCAGCATTGATTCACCATGAAGATATAGCAGGCGTTTGTCCTCGGCATGGAGAATCTGGACATGGAGTAGGAGGCGAATGAGGCACGCTAGGGCGGCCGGCTACTTTCCTAGCATCATAATTGATCAAAAAGTTGCCACCAAGCTTTCTCCCCTTTGTAACTGCAAAATGAAAGTGAAATAATGCAAAAACAGAAATCATTTCAACATTTTTCATCGAAGGTTTTTCTAAAAGAAAATATTAGAGTATAAAATTATTACCCTCAATGCTCACTGTAAATTTAGAGTATCAATATAGATTATATAGTAGGAGAAATTTTATATAACATCAAAGCAAACTAGGTTCAAATTTTATGAGATACAAATGAAAAGTGAATTTAAAAAAGAATACATATAAACGTGAATACGGAGCTTGCTTGTGGCATATGTTAGAATATAAAATTATAACCCTCAACCAGCATCATAACTTTAACATATTGATATAGTTGAAGAGATTTTAAGATGATCATAAAAGACTAAATAATATATTATTGTGTAAATTGTTGTGACTGATGCTTTGAGAAACCAAACCAACGAACGCCGAGAGAAAGACCAAACAAAACACAAACACCAAGGTTTTACGTGGTTCGGCAAATTGCCTACGTCCACGGGGCAAGAAGGGGTTGGGTTTTCACTAATAGAGAAGGAGAGTACAAATTGAGATTACAAATCGCTCAAACGAACCAACTAATCTCACCAACAAATCTCTCAATCTCTCAACCAATAACCCTAACAAATAGCTCAGAAAGATCTCTCTTTTTCTGTGCTCCAAAACCCCAAAACTCTCCTCAGTAGGCTCATTCATAAGCCTTTACCAGCATACTTCAGGGATTTACCACAAGGCATCCTCCTCCTCTTGCTCCTGTTAGAGGAGAGCTCCACTGTTGGGATGGAGGTTGAATAGGTTTGCGTCGAAACTTAGGTTATTTTTTAAAAGAGTTTTGCAACTAAATAAGCAGAAGAAAAAAACAATCAAACTCGAATAAACAATTTTATATATATATATATGTTTATATATTTATATTCACATTTGAAATCAATTAGGAATTTGTTCTCTCTCTGTTAAATTAATTTGTTATTTTTGTGAAAATATCTAGTATTTGTATATATATATATGTTTATATATTTATATTCACATTTGAAATCAATTAGGAATTTGTTCTCTCTCTGTTAAATTAATTTGTTATTTTTGTGAAAATATCTAGTATTTGAATGTGACAACAGTGATACAACAAAAAACCTTTATCTGAAATTTTTTGGGGTCAACTACTTAAGTTAATTACCTTGATATTTCACTGAAGCTGTAATGTGCAAAAATAGTTTCTTTTGTGGGACTAAGAAGAACATACGAGACATATTTTGGCGTTACTAATTAAACTAGCACATATTTGTATGCTTGTAAACCAAAAATATGAGCATGTATGTGATCATCTGGGATTGGGAGTGGATATGATTGTGCTGGTGTGCACTAGCCCGCAAAGATATTTACTTTTTGGCTGTGTAACGTAGCTATCTTCGTAGGTGCCAAGTTCCCCGGAGTCATTAAATGTCCAATGTGGAAATATCTTGGAGACCTGATATCTGATTAAGTAATCTATACTTCAAGTTAGTAATCTTAGATTTTGACCCAAATACAAATCTTGGCTTGATGTCTTGCATGTAAATCTACAAATTTGCAGTAAATGGTGATGTCATCATTGTTCTATACCTAAAAGTGCCCTTGGAATATTCAGGGAGTGTTCTTGAGCATTCAAGTCCCAACAACTGAATTTTTAATTTGAACATAATAATTATTTTTTGACTTCAAAGAATCCAACAACCATAACAGTACTTGGAATTGACACTACAGTGTCATTACCTTGGAAGCATCACGGAGGTCTTCTTTCAGGGTGTAAGCATCACAGGATTCTTTTTTCGGGGGGGGGGGGGGTACTAGCTAACCATTTATGACTCTATCTGTGTCTCTTACCTTAAACCAAGTTAGTGCCCTGCTTTTTGGGTGAATTCAGTAAACTGGTTAACTTATATTAGCATTCCTTTACTTAGTAATGACATGTCGGCCTCTTAACAAGACACGTGTCTGATTGTTTTTCTATCATTTTTCCCCCAAATTATTTCAGGCAAGGATCACAGAAGAACTCGGGTAGCTAATGCTTATTTTTCACTCTTCATGGCATTGGGAAATGTGCTTGGTTATGCTAGTGGATCTTATAGTGGTTGGTTTACTCTTTTACCCTTCACTGTCACAAAAGCTTGCAGCGTAAACTGTGCCAATCTCAAGTCTGTTTTCCTTATTGACATTGTTCTTCTTGCCATAACTACATATATTAGCGTATCATCAGCCAAAGAAGTCCCCTTAACTTCTGACAGTGGGGTTGCACATTCTGCTGAAGGACCAGAACAGGAACCGTTCCTCTGGGAGTTATTTGGTGCTGTCAGATACTTGCCATGGCCTATTTGGACAATTCTGATTGTTGTTGCACTTACGTGGGTGGGATGGTTTCCATTTATTCAATTTGATACTGATTGGATGGGTCGAGAGATCTACAGAGGAGACCCGAACAATGGGCAAAATTATCATTCAGGAGTTAGGATGGGAGCTTTTGGCTTAATGTTGAATTCCATCATTCTTGGAGTTACTTCAGTGTCAATGGAAAAACTCTGCAGGAAGTGGGGATCTGGCTTGGTATGGGGAGTCTCAAGCCTCATCATGACTTTCTGCTTTATAGGAATGCTTATAATAGCCTTTATTGCAAGCAATATTGAATATTCAAGCAAAGGACTCCCTCCAAATGGCATCATTATTGCTTCACTCGTTGTTTTTGCAGTTCTTGGGGCGCCTTTATCAGTAAGTTAATAATTTGTTATTTTTATGCCTTGTCATTCGTTTATGCACAAGTCTCAATTTGTTTCTGTTGCAGGTTACGTACAGTCTTCCTTATGCAATGATTTCTTCCAAAATAGAACCTTTAGGGCTTGGCCAAGGTAGGTTATTTTTTGCTTAATAATAATTCCTTTAACAGAGTTATTGATTACTTCTTTTCAAAGTAGCTGAATATACTATCTGGCAGGATTGGCAATGGGCATTATGAATTTGGCAATTGTGATACCTCAGGTATGTTTTGCTCTTTTGTTTTTTAAGGTCATGTTTTTTGTTCTTTCAAACCAAGGAGTTTTCTGTGGTTTTTCTCTAGATGTAACCAAAGTTACTACTAGACTCGACAAAACTTTGCCTAGATAAGAAATATTTAATAGACTCGGAAAATGTATATTTAGATACTGGAACTGGGAAAGTGCTCTTTTATATATTTAACGTATTAGTTACAGAGAAATCCCATTAAAAATATGGTAATTTTGTACTTTAACATTTGAGTCATTTAACATCCTTTCCACTATCTATGAACGATGATACTTTCAGTTTTTGTTGGGTAGTATTTCTGCTTTGTCCCTTTTGGTAGTATATCATTTTCCTATAAGACATACTTACTAAAAGTTACGGAGTACTTGATGTGAAACGGGATAGGGGTCTATCAGAATCAGCGATTTAAATCGAATAACGCACTGTCTCGCCAAAATTCATGATCTTCGGTAGGAAATTAAATTTAAAAGAACTAATGTGACCGATGGATTTTAATAGGATTTGCATCAATAATCATGAACAATTCCAATCTCAAGCAATATAACTGCTATATTCATTATCATTGCGTAAGTTCTACAATCAATATGAATTGTTCAACAGTCACAAATTCAGTTACTCTCAACTCACAAATTTAATCAAGCAGTCAATATATGATAAGAGCTTAGAGATGATATACCCATGCAATTAACTAATAAAAATGAGTTAGACAGAAAAATAATAAGATAGTGAAACCTTCGTCGATATGAACAGACTCGACGTGAGGAACCTCCGGAGGTGGTACGATGGCGAATTGGATGACGAGGGCGTGTGGACTGAGCGGCTGCGGAACATAATTCAAATCGGCGACGAAAGATCGTGGGTTGGAAGAAGTTTAACGATTATGAAGTTGAGGATTCCAACCCTCGTCAAGTGAACCCACAAAACTCTTCTGTAACTTGGATTTGCAAGACAAATTAAAGGATCAATTACTTGATTGAGAGTGTTCGCATCATCTGCACTAACGAGTTCAGAATAGGACATGACATCTGCACTTTGACCCACTTCACATTTAACCAAGTGAAAGATCCACCAGCTTCTTTAATAATATTTAAAGCTTCGTTAATTAAAGGCTGATCAAACAATTGACCACAAGATTTGTTTGTGGTTTTTTTTGTGGGGCTGTTCGGCATGGAAGGAGAGCAGGAGGGAGAGGGTGTTGGGGCTGACGGATGACACATTCACAAGATTTGTTTGTGGTTTTTTTTGTGGGGCTGTTCGGCATGGAAGGAGAGTAGGAGGGAGAGGTTATTGGGGCTGACGGATGCAAGGAGGGAGAGGGCGTTGGGGCTGACGGATGCAAGGAGGGGGAGGAGCGGTCGGTGGAGAGGAAGACAACCAGCAACGGTTAGGGTTTCTTAGGTGGAGGAAGAGGAGGGTAGCGACTGGACTTGGGTTAGGAGATAGGACGGAGAATGGTAGGGTGTGGGTTTGTTCGGATTGGGAGGGAGAGGAGGACAGGGCGTTGATGGCTGTTGTGGCAGAGGAGGGGTGAGCGGTGGGTTGGGCGCGACTGTAAAGAGAGGAGTTGGAGGGAGGAGATCTGGCGGCGGGGTTTAGAGGCTGATGAAGAGAATGCGGGCGTGGGTCTGGGTGGCGGTTCGGCTGTTTGTGGAGGTGGAAGTGAGGGCGTTGGGGCTAACGGATGCAAGGAGGGGGAGGAGCGGTCGGTGGAGAGGAAGACAACTAGGGAGGGTTAGGGTTTCTTAGGTGGAGGAAGAGGAGGGTAGGGGCTGGACTTGGGTTAGGAGATGGGACGGAGAAGGGCAGGGTGTGGGTTTGTTCGGATCTGGAGGGAGAGGAGGACATGGTGTTGATGGTTGTTGTGGCAGAGGAGGGGTGAGCGGTGGGTTGGGGCGCGACTGCAAAGAGAGGAGTTGGAGGGAGGATATCTGGCGGTGGGGTTTAGGGGGTGATGAAGAGGATGCGGGCGTGGGTCTGGGTGGCGGTTCGGCTGTTTGTGGAGGTGGAAGTGGGAGACGCTGAGCTTGAAGGTTGAGGAAGATGAAATAGGGATAGGCGGTTGATGGAGTAGGAGAAGGAGTTGTCGTTGTGAGTCAAGAGGGAAGAGAGAGTGGTGGCTGGAGAAAGAAGAGAATGAACAATGGTAGCCTAGGGTTTCACACCCTTCATGGTTTCACACCAATTGATTAAGCTAACACAATAATTCATTTCATTCATTAATTCTTCTTTTTTTTCATGATTACATCAGGGTTTATAAAGAGAGAAAATATTATAGATTTGCAAATCTAATATAATCAAATCTCTCACAAAATCAAATCCCTCAAATCTCTCGTATTATTAACTACCAAATCTCACATACAATTCGAAATTCAAATCTACTACTAAAACAAAAGTCAAATAGCAAATATGGAAGCTTGTCCTCATCATTCTTCTCGGGTGGGAGAAAACTTGACTCCGTCGAGTTAGCTACAGAAACCTGTCATCTTTAATATACTCTGTCTGTAACTTAATCTACCATCAGTTACTTTCCTACATCTCAAATCATTAGCTAAATTACATTAAAAATTCACCATCTAAAATATTATCAAAATTCACTGTTGTATGGACGAATATATAGAAGTGGGGTAAGGTGAAAGAGCTCTCAGAAATAATAGGCTAGGGTCAAGCTTATATCAGTGGACCGTCAATAACATTGTGAACTGCTTAATCACTCAATATTGAAAATAGAACTATCAACTATGACTAAATTGAATATAAATGTTGCCATTACTTATTTCAAGAGTTGAAAAAATTTATAAATATCATATCAAATCTTAAACAACTATAAATATACTGTATTAGACAAGTCCAAACCATCTAAAATATCAACACTAACAGTTTTAAATTATGTCCTGACTGAATGTCATACATTTCAGTTAACAATGTATTCATTTAAATTAGATCACTGATTCCCCAATATATGATCAATGCAAATCAAAACAAACTTATGCAAATCAACTCAAATGATTATGTATGAAATGCAGACCCGAACAATACGATCAATGGTAGATGTAACTCAACGAAGTGTTTAACATGCATGACGTCTTCTATCAAATGGAATAATTAGGCATTCCTTCGTTAATATGAATAACAAATTTTCTTTTTTAGTAGCGATAGTGAGGAACATGCAAACAAATGTATGAAGGAGTGTTTTTGTGCGCTTAATATGTGAGAAAAAAGAAATGAAAACACTCGTGCTAAAACTTGTATCCCTAATCACTATATTTTTTCCCAAAATGGATCAGTGTATGTATGAGTAACTATCGGGATAATGCATGGTGATTTAACATCTAATATGATAGTTATTTCACTAGGCTCAATTTGATATTCAACTTTCATATATATTCTGATTGAATCGCTTTAGGATCCAAGTCAAGAACATGTTGGGGGTCATGTTTGTCCGGGACGACTTCGTGGGGAACATCAACAACGTTTTCAATCACTAGAGTTGATTTAGGAGGAGTTGGAGTTCCAATTTCAAGAACAACTTCAGGGATAACATCAGTGGACTCCGTGATCAAAGGGGTAGCTTGGGAAATAACCGGAGTGTTGTTATTGCATGAAACTTCAGTCAATTCCGCAATTGTAGGGTAGTTTCTAGAGACACATAAAGTTATGGTTCTTTAATTTTACTATCTTGGATTTTTTGTCAGAGTTAGATTCTGTCAAATCTATGGTCTGGTTAACGGTTTTCTTAATAATAGATTTTGATTCCGTTATAGACGGTTTATTAATTCTAAATCTGAACGGAGTTGTACAGACGGAAGTAACGTGCTCATATCCTTGACAATTGTAACACTGAATTATTGGACTAAGTTTAGAGAGAGATCTCTTTGACTTCTGGCCCTTGGGATCGACTCTAGATTGGGAAGAACTAGGGTTAGATCGACTCAGAGGCTGACTAGAGGTATTGGCACGGGAAGACAGAGAGGAATGAGTTTGAAAATCTTGAGCCCTATGAAATTGGTGGAATTTGGCTTTATCTAAATCTTAAACTAAGGCGTAAGCTCTTTCAAGGGTGTTTACTCCTCTAGCAAAAAGTTCGATTTGGAGATCACTTCTCAATCCGGCTCTAAACTTTAACAAGACTTTCATTGGTGCCTCTTGCTCAATAGTGTTGCATCAAGTAAACAATTCATCAAATTGGGTAACATACTCTTTTGTAGATTTGGTTCCCTGAGTAAGATGATGCCACTTGTCGAATAATCTATGATAGAACGATGGTGGGAAGTATTTCGTTTTAAGCTCGTTGATCATTTCTCGCCAAGTAAAAATTGGTAACTCACCTCTAATATGTCTCAACATTTTGAGGTTGGACCAATATTGATAGGCGGGTCCGATGAGCTTCATTGTGGCAAACTTGACTTTACAGGTTTTCGTCAAAGCGTACCAGTCAAAGTATCGATACATGTTCCTCAACCAGTCCGAGAAAGCTTCTGGGTCGAGCCTACCATCAAAGGTTGGTGGATCAGGCACTGGTTGAGGTGGGGGTCGATGAACGATGTACCCATGACCATTCTCTTGACCTTGCGGTGGCGGAGTTGTAATGCGTGATTCTGTGAGCCTAACAAGCCTTTCATTGGTGTTGTCAAATCGTGCTGCTAGTTTAGTGAATTTCTTAAAGAGTTCGGACTCTACACCGCCTGACATGCTTAACTCACTAATTGACTCACTTGACTCATCTAATCGATAGAGTAGGCATGTGCGAGTGAGCATGCACTAACAACTAGATGAGATGAATGGTGTGCACAAACATCTAAATAAGATGAATGAGATTTTTAACATCAAATAAAAGACTCAACTAATCTAAAAAATAAAAATAAAAATAAAAATTTCCTACCATAGAACCATGTTCTGATACCAAAAATGCTGCGAAACGGGACATGAGGTCTATCAGAATCAGCGATTTAAATCGAATAACGCATCGTCTCGCCAAA